TAATAGTCATTCATTTTACATTTTAAAAGTATTTTTCAAAATGATTTCTTGATTATTGACTCTTGTCTTTTTGGATAATAACAGTTGTATTCTTTAGGTATATTCATCTTTTTCTTTTTCATCACTTTATACTAGGTAAAAAATGTACTTTTACTCAAAATAATATTATAATTAACAAACTTAATATTAATTAAAAACCCTCCATGTTAGGTGTTATTTGGTCTACAAAGTAGTAAAATTGGAATAATGAACATTCCAATTCATTGAACATTAAATTGTCTAGAATACATATTGCTTAACACTTGTGACTAAAGATGTGGTGTTTGGTCTCCTTACATGTGCACTTTTTTTTTTTCTGAACAGAATTCCAGACATTCTTTAAACCTAGAACAAACCAAAGAATAAAGACAACTGGACTGAATACTTCATTAGAAACAAGGGCTCTAGCCCAAATATTTACAGATAAATTACAGCATTATTTATTCATCTAAGAAAAATATTACATGTTTACCTCACAATTCTTTTATGGAAATAAAAAAGATCAGTAAGTGCTGAGAAAAGTTAAAATCATAATAGATATGATATGAATTTTAACTTGAGTGCTATAAAAATGATAGAAAGTGGAGATAGTGTGATCTTTCCTTGCACATACACTAGCCATTAGGAAATAGACATGAAACAGCTTGGTTTCAATATTAGATAATATTATTTTGGTAATCTTTATCTATATATATATAGAATATAAAGTTTTATTAAAAAGATATGCATTAATTAATAATATAGATGACTCTAAATAGAAACACTAATTGCATAACTTTTTTTAAAAACTAGCATCAGTGCTAATTTGAAGATTCCTTGCTTTTCTTTCCAGTGGTACAAAATATCATCATGACATAAACCAAACTCACAAATACAAGTACTTTGTTTCATATGTAAAATTTGAGCTTAGATATAATGACATAAAAATAAAATGGGGGATGATTGTGGATATGGAACCTGAAAATGGTAGAGGTAGATGGATGAGAAGGGTTAATAGAAGGAGTTAATTTTCTTTATTGGATGTTTTCTTTTTTTACATTTCAAATGTTATCCCTTTCCTGCCTCACCCAGAACTCCCGTATCCTATCCCCCATCCCCTGCTTTTATGATGGTATTCCTCCACCTACCCACTCACTCCTGCCTCCCTACTCTTGAATTCCCCTACATTGGAGCATCAAGCCTTCACAGGACCAACAGCCTCCTATTGATGCCCGACAAGACCATCCTCTGCTACATATGCAGTGGAGCCATGGGTCCCTCCATGAGTACTCCTTGGTTGGAGGTTCAGTCGCTGGGAGCTCTGGGGTGGGGGCGGTTTGGCTGATTGATATTATTGTTCTTCCTATGGGGTTGCAAACCCCTCAGCTCCTTCAATCCTATCTCCAGAAGGAATTAATATTATAGGGTATATGTAAGTACGAGAGTGTCATAATTTAGTTAACTGTTTTGACCAATTAATATGTTAACAAAAGAAGAAAATGATAATGGATTAGTTAATAGCTACATGATTTTCAATAATATCATCCAAAAGTATATATGATTAACATTATGCAGTAAAATGTCAGATGTTGCTTTTATTTTAAAGTATTTTGCTTCTTTGTTTTCTCATAAAATGCTTACAAAAACAACTAGAATTTCTCTCTTTAAGGCCATGGGATTCAGAAACAAAATTCCCATGATAAATGGTCTGGAGACTTAGATCACCAGCCAACAAGTGGTCACCAAATACTGTTGTCAGGGTGTAGATAGTTAGAGCATTGGGAAGGAGCACTAAACATACAGCATCCAAGAGGAAGACACTTTCTAAGTCATATAGTAATAGTGCAAATACTGCGTTATAGTGTTTGAAGACGCTAGGTAAGTGGACATTAATACTACACTAAAGTTAGGAGTTATTTCTCTTGTATAGCCAATGTACAATATCCCTGTTATATTCAAAGTTCCCTATCTTCTTTGCTATTTTTTCATATATACCTAGCAACCATTTATTTATACTGGGCTTCCCAAAGCAAATTCATAGTTACATTGCTCTATATAACCCTAGATTTCATCTTGATTTGCAAAACAATTTTGTGATTCACTGGTAACAATTTTGTGATTCACTAGTAACTCTTTAGAAGCTAATGAAGATGTTGGCAATGAGATGATCTTATAAAGGAAATGTCAGATGAAAGCAGGAAGAAGACCAATAGTCAGGGTCAAGGAGCTTGCCTGCTACATAGAGATATTCTGAGTGTGGTGGTTGCTTGGGGGTTTACACAATGAGAATATACAAGAAGATACAAGAAATTCTCCATATGTGTGCTATCATTGATGAACTAGTTCTGCTTGTTATGTAGCTGTGGCCAATCTTTCTGGCTTAGTCTTCATTATAGGTCAGTGTGAAGGAAGCAAGATACCTGGCCTTTAAATATTATTTTAATTTCTTCAGTTGTCGGCCTTACAATGGTGTCTCACCTTATTGTATCTTCCCTATTATTTCTTCTCTTTGCTCACACCCCTTGTCTCTTGTCTCTTCCCCTTTGCCTTTTGCCTTTTCTAGGATCAATCAAGATCCTACAATTTTATATTGATGATGAGTCTGTTAATGGAACATTCTTTGTAGAGTAACATACATTTAGGAGAAAATAATATTTCTCAAATTTTAAACTTTTATTATAACTTTAAATGAGAGTTTGTGTAAATCCAATATCACTCCTTTGAATTTATATGTCTGTTCTTGACTTGTTTGTATTTTCAAACGCATTTTTAATTAACATTACTACAACATTCTTTTAAGACAATTAAATAATACAGGAATACAGAATTTAAGAAGTGAAATCCACATGGAATCCTACCTTTGAGGACTCACCATTGCTGGTGTGATTTGGTGTTGTTGTTTTTTTTTTTGTTCCTCTTGAAGAATGTTTAAATTCAAACATGTCCACAAATAAACATATTACTATTTTTATACTTTCTCTTGTCTTTCAGTTAAGTAGAATCCCTCTAGATTTGTATATGTAGAACTATTCAGGTGAGTTTTTAAGATTTATATTATTTGATTGTATATATGTACTAATATTAATGCATATAGTATTAATACCTTTCAACTATATTCTGGATATATGTCACATATTTAATAATTCTGCAATAATACATTTTAAAAGCTATTAATTTGTAGTGCATATACAATATACAAAATGAGATTTTATCTTGAAAATTTTAAAATAAAAGTAGGGATCATTTGCTAATCTATTTTTCTTGCTTTTCAAAATCACTCATTTTCTTCCCATTTTGATTGGAAAACAGGAAAAGAATGATTAATGAGGATGGACATCAGTGTTATTTGACTGGTAAACTGTATGTGTTCATCCTATTGTGAGTTCTCTACACAAACTGTGCTATTGTTCCAAGCAGACTCTATGTGTTAAAATTTTGACCACCTTGTGAATATTGATATTCTGCATTAATTATGAGTATATTTCTTTCTTCCCATGTTTAATAGAATATTTGATTTATTCACACAGTTGAAAACATACTGAATATGTATATACTTTGGATTCCAGAATATAAATATTTTAAATTTGTAGATAGCATTTCACTCCTTTAATGAAAAAGTTTTGATTATAGGACCTTTACAAAAGACATCTCTTGCCATTCACCTCAGGGATTGTCCTAGTTAACTCAGTCTTGATCTATTTCATCTGTCATGTACAATATAAATTTTCCACTTATCACCCATATGGTGGGGCCTCCTCACAACACCTCTGCAGTGTTTCCCTTGACTTATGGCAATTACTAGGTACCCATAACTAAGAGTGTGCTCAGTCTGACTGCTTCAAGTCTTTCATGCAGGTGTCCAGGCATAAAATAGATGATGTGAGACATGCCAAGACTGTAGCAGACCTTGTTGGTGACTGTAAAATGGAGATTTCATATATAGGACTACAGTGTCCAGCATTGTGTGTCATACTCTATGGTTCTCCACCTATTAATTTAAGATACGCTTATTCACTGAACCTTTAGCTAACTTTTCAGGTAATCTGAAGGCTGGCATGCCCAAGATCTGCTTGTCCCTGTATATCTTGCACTGATATGATCATTTTCCACTACAGTCAGCTTTTAAGCAAGGAATTGGAAATCTGAACAAAGTTCCTTATGCTTGCACACAAAGAACCTTTCTCAATGAATCATCTTTGCATCCTTAGTTCTGTTTTATGACATTTAAATGATTCTATGAAGTCAACTAAACATATGATGAGAAGCAAATGTGATTTGCAAGTTGTTACAGCACAAAATAATATTTTATTAGGTCCCATAAAACCATATAGCTCTCCATTTGTGCTACAACTGGTTACTTGAAGTCCTTCCACTCTATTTTTTTATTTGACCATTAGAAGATAGTAATTATGATCAAGCTGCTTATTATACTGTAAAGGCCTATTATTGGTTTAAATTAAAAAATAAACTTCTAATAATGTGTCTAAGATTATAAATTTGGCTTCTTCTCCTGTCTGATCTCCATCACTCTTTTTCTCACCCCACTGGTATAATTATTTTGAATTGTTAGTGTGGGCCAATAAAAAAGATCGAAATTCTTCTCATTCTCTGAAGTAACAGCAAGCCTATTATCAAAGAGTGAATACCACTGTGGTGACTCATGTAGTTGAGATACTACATTGTGCTTTTGTTTAAATGTATTATAATAGTAGATGTTGCATTTTATGTAGTTCCTGATGGACAATCCAATTTTCACCTAAGAATCTGACCTATTTCCAGGAATATGGTACATAACTACAGACTATTAGATGGACAGGTAAATAATTTAAGGAATATTCAATGCTTTCCAGCAATAATAAAAAAAATTTTGTCTTAATTAAATTAGAAAATATTCTGAATTGTTTTTCAAACTATTTACTTATATTAAATTATTTTTACAACTCTTTTGTTCTCATTCACTTAGGTAACAGAAGAAAAAGTAAATGGTTAAAAAAAATTATACCGAGGTATCTGAATTTGTGTTTCTGGGACTTTCAACATCTAGAAAAATTCAACCTTTTCTTCTTGGCTTCTCTATGGTGTTTTATGTAGCCATAGTGCTGGGTAATAGTCTTGTTATGTTTACACTAGCCTTTGACCCACATTTACATTCCCCTATGTACTTTCTTTTGGGAAATCTTGCACTTATTGATTTATGTCTTTCCACCTTAACTATACCCAAGATGATTTCTGATCTGTCTCCCAGGCCATGGCTACCAACAATACCATCTCAGATGCCCCGAGGACATGAAGGACAAATATCTGGAAGACACAACCCTGGAATGAGATGGGACAGATATGTGGCCATATGTAAGCCCCTCCACTACCTGACCATCATGAGCAGAAGGATGTGCCTTATGCTTCTGTCTGGTGCTTGGGTTATTGGCTTTTTACACTCAGTGGCCCAATTAGCTTTTATTATCAAATTAAGATTTTGTGGTCCTAATGAGATAGATAGTTTTTATTGTGATCTTCCTCAGTTTATCAAACTGGCCTGCATAGACCCCAAGAAAATGCAGTTCATGGTTACGGCCAACAGTGGGTTTATTTCTACGGGCACTTTCTTCTTATTGATAATCTCCTACATTGTTATCCTGTTCATTGTAAGAAAACATTCATCATCAGGTGATTTGTCCAAGGCTCTCTCGACACTTTCTGCTCACATCTCCGTGGTAGTTTTATTCTTTGGACCATGCATCTTTGTGTATATGTGGCCATTTCCTACTGTACCATTGGATAAATTCCTTGCCATTCTGGACTTCATGATTACACCCATCCTAAACCCTGCCATTTACACACTGAGGAACAAAGACATGAAGGTGGCAATGAGAAGACTGATTACTCAGCTACTCGGTCTGAGGAAATCACTCTAATGTACGAAAACACTAAATGCATCTTCTGATTGCTCTCCAATAATCGTAACTGAAGACTGCTATGCTGAAACAGTTCATTATTCCATGTCCAGCATTTTATAGATATTGAATAGTTTATCTCAAGTAAACCAGCAATAATGGCATGTTTAAGTAGAGTTTATTATACATTAGGTATGCTAACTACATTTTATTATCCAAGAAAAGCTAAAAAGGAAATAATAAATTTCCATCTACAGTATATATTTGCAAAGCTGATTTTATATATTGATATCTTTCTGTCTTTGTTAAGAAAAAAAGAAGTATTTATCTCATACTTATATGTTTGTAAATAAAGTATTAATCTTCTATGCTAACTCAGAATAATTTGTGCATTTCTATTAAACTGAGAAATTGGAAGAAATATGTGTTAAATAAATTCTGAAAATATCTTATATTCTAGTAAATTGATGCTTTTCCTGGCCCTCAATTTGTATGTTCTCCTATTCCTCTGATCCAAAAAAACTGCATGTCTTGCCAGAAACAGCTAGTACAGAAGAAGAAAATAACTTCTTAAAATCAGCCACAAAGGCTGAAAGCAGCCATTTATCATTATTGGTTGTTAGTATGATGATTGCTTTTCTGGGTGAGATGGGATCAGTTTGAGACAATGACTTATGCTCTCATAAAACTCTTTTTAAAATTTTTGTTACATATACCATTCCCTCATTATCTGATGGTTTCTATGCTGCTTACAAAAACACGGTATCCTTTGTTGGATATAGCAATCAAATCACTCACACATACAGCTCATAAAACAGACAGACACACTTAGGGGTAGACAAACAGACACAGAAACAAACAAGCTACACTAAAGCCATTAGATAGGCACAGATTCAGATCAACAACAAATAAAGGACAGAAGACACAAGAAACATGAAGTAGAGAATTCAACTTTGGACTCCTTCTTGGTTAAATGACTCCAATAGGAGGGATTTTTATTTCTTTCCTTAATGCAATACAGATAAATTTTTCGTAACTCAGATTTACCCACTAATGCTTTGTAATCCACCCACTGAAGAAGACTATGTCTCCTCCTCCAGAAACCGCTACTCTCTGACAGTCCCCCTGTGAGGCCCCTTCCCCCATCCTTGATGTTTGTGGCCTCAGTTCTGTGCAGTTCTTGTGCAGATAAACACAGTTGCAGTAAGCTCATGAGTGCAACAGCTGTGTCATGTTTAGAAGATGTCTGTTTGCTGCACATCTCCCAATCCGCTGACCCAATTCTTTTTGCTATTCACTTTTGCAATACTCCCTGAGTACTGAAGGGGAATAGAAGAATGCTACATATAGGACTGAGCACTCTCGTATCACTAATTCCCAGTTATTGTTTTCTGGGTTTACATTCTCCAAACTTCAGCCCCACTACAAACTACAATAAGAAGCTTCTCTGATGAAGGCAGACTAATCTTATATTGTGTGTGCCTATAGATGTATTTCAATTCATAAATCTTTTTAAATATTTAACTTTGTTTTAATGTTTACTAGTTTTACTTCATCTATTTTGACTCTGATTTTTAAAGTTGTCTATCTGGGTGATAGAGACCTGATTCCGTGATAAAGAGCACTTGCCGTTTATAGAGAAGGCTGGGATTCAATTCCTAGATTCAAATGGCCCACAACTGTAACTCTTGCTCATAGCATCCTATTGTGTCTTTGGCCTCAGTGAGTGCAGACATGCAGATGCAAAAATACACGATCACATACACATAAATGAATATATTTTTTAAAAAATTGACAGGCAAGACGTGCCCATAAGTGCAATAGTGGCATGTCTGATATGGATGGCAATAACCAACCACATTTGACTAGACTTGAGGTCTGTTTCATGGAAATAAACACATTCTAAAGTTTAAATGAGAAGGTAGTATCACTTCTCAAACACAACTTAAACTCTGGTATGTCATCTCTTAGGCTGTGCTCTCTATAACACTATTTTGACCATTCTATATTCATACCTACATAAGATCATTATCCAGTGAAGACAAAATCAGTTGTGTAATATTGCCTCTGCAATCAATGATATTGGAAAATTATGGACACAATATCCGGACATCTGCAGTAATTGCTAAAATAAATCTAGTATTTGACTTAATTCTACTTAAATTATACTACACATATAGTCTTTAATATAAATGATAAATTATTTTTCAATTATCTTTTATCACTTAATTTATATAGAGCAACCTCCATAATCAATTAATTCTCAATAAATTCACAGTCAATTCACAATAAATCTACTAAACTCTAGGAACAATGAGACCAACTTGTTTACCTGAATCATAAAGAACTGAAGGTCAAAAATGTACTTAAGTTGTCAGGCAGTGGTGGCGCACGTCTTTAATCCCAGCACTTGGGAGGCAGAGGCAGGCGAATTTCTGAGTTTGAGACCAGCCTGGTCTACAGAGTGAGTTCCAAGACAGCAAGGGCTACACGGAGAAACCCTGTCTCGAAAAACAAAAACAAAACAAAAAAAATTGTACTTAAGTCATGCACATAGTAATAGTATGCTCTAAAAAATAGACATCTAAAATAGATGTCACTGACCATCTATTTTAAACTCATGATCATCACCTAGGAATGAAGTTTACCTGTTAGTTCAATTTGCAACACTATACACCAAGAAAATAGTGTATTCTTATCATATAATAAAACCAGGTTATTTGTATTATGAATATTTTGAGTTTTATTATGTTGTTTATTTTCTTTACAGCCTTATCAAAGTTTCCCCTCTCTCATCTCTTCAGTCCCTCCCTCTCATGTCACCTGCCCCTCATCAACTTCTCTTCTTCTCCTCTGAAAAAGAAGGCCTCACATATATAACAACCAGTCTTGGCATATCAAGTTGTAGTAAGTCTACGCATATCTTCTTCAATTGAGAGTATACAAGGTATCTACTTAAAAATAAGGAATACAAAGGCAGAAAGTGTGGTCATAAAGACAGCTCCTCCTCCTCCTTTATGAGTCCTACATGAAGACCCTGGTACAAAGGTTTATAAGGGAAGAGTTCCTTAGTCTATCCCATGCATGCTCTCTGGTTGACAGTTCAGTCTTTATGAGCCACTATGGGCCTATGTTAGTTGATTCTGTAGGATTTCTGTGTGTCCTTGACCCTACTGGCTCCTTCAATTCTTCTCCATATTTCACAGGAATCCCCAAACTCTGCTTAATATTTGACTGTGAGTCTCTACATCTATTTTGATCAATTGCTGAGTGAAGCGTCTCTAATGACAGTTATACTAGGCTCCTCTCTGCAAATATAGCAGAGTATCATTAATCAGTGGTGGTCTCCCTTTCATTGCATTGGTCTCAAACTGGGCCAGTCATCAGCTGGTTCTTTCATCAAATTCATTTTTTTGCCCGTGCACATCTTGTAGAAAAGACAAATTATGGGTCTAAGGTTTTATGGCTGGGTTGTTTTTCAAATCTCTGCATTGGAAGTATTGCCTGATTACAGGAGATAGCCAGATTAGGCTTCATATGCATTAACTCTAGGAGTCTTATTTAGTGTCAACTACATAAATTCCTAGGAGTTTTCATTTTTCCAAGGTTTCTAGCTTGTCCCAGAGAATGCCCCACACACACGAAAACCAGTTGTCTCTCCCAGTACTCACTCTCTTTGTCCTCTCCTACCTTATCCCTCATGTTCCTTTCCTCAACTCCTCCTCTACCCTGTCCTTTCCCTCATCCACCCCTAAGTCTAATCTATTTCCCTTTCTCCATGATATTCAAGTGTCCCCCCTTCAGCCCTCCTTGTTACTTATCTTCTTAGGGTCTATAATTTGTAGCATGATTATCCTGTACTTTATGATTAATATCCACTTACAAGTGAGTATAGACCTTCTTTGTCTTTCTTTGTCTGAGTTACTTCACTTTGAATGATATTTTCTGGTCCCATCCATTTGCCTGCAAGTTTCATTATGCCTTGTTTTTGATAGATGAGTAATATTCCACTGTATAAATAAACCACATTTTCTTTTTCCATTCTTTGTTTAAGGGACATCTGTGTTGTTCCCAGTTTCTGGCTGCTATGAATAAAGCTGCTAAGAATATAATTGAGCAAGTGTCCTTGTGGCATAGTGGAATATTTTTTAGGTATATGCCTGAGATTGATATATGCAACTGGGTCTTGAGGTAGATTTATTCCCATTTCCTTGAGAAATGGCCAAATTGATCACCCAAGTGGTTTTTACAAGTTTGCACCCCCACCAGCAACAGAGGAGTGTTCCCCTTTCTCTACATCCTTACTAGCATGAGCTATCTCTTGAGGTTTTTATTTTAGCCATTCTGACAGGTGTAAGTTAGACGCCATCTCAGAATTTTTAACCTAGTATTGTTCCTGCCCAGAGGAAAGACAGGAACAAAAAATGGAACAGAAACTGAAGGAAAGGCCATCCAGAGACCTCCCCACCCAGGGATTCATCTTATCTGCAGACACCAAACCCTGACACTATTGACCATCCAAGAAGCACTTGCTGACAGTAGCCTGATATGGCTGTCCTCTGCAGTGTTTTACAAGCACGTGAGTGATACAGATACTCACAGCTAACCTGAGCCTGGGAACCCCAATGGAAGAGCTAGAGGAAGTACTGAAGGAGCTGAAGGGGATTGCAACCACATAGGAAAAACAGTATCAACTAACTAGACCACCAAGAGCTCCCAGAGACTAAACCACCAACCAAAGAGATCTCTCATGGAGAGATCCATGACTCCAGATATATATATATATATATCAGAGGATGGCCATGTGATATTTATTACTATTGCTCTGTAGTACAATTTGAAATTAAAGACGGTGGTAACTCTATAAGTTCTTTCATTGTATACAATCATTTTACCTACACTATTTTTTTGTTTTTTCACAGGAAGTTGAGTATTGTTCTTTCAAGGTCTGTAAAAATAATGTTTTGGAAATTGGATGAGAATTACGCTGAATCTTTAGATTACTTTTGGTTGAACAGCTG